ACTGTCACGCTCTGCTAGCTATTGTATGTTGTCTTAATTGTTAGTTTAAAAAACTGTGTATGTAGTGGCAATGAGAAAATATCCCATGATGTAGACCTTCTTAAGAAAAATGATAGTCTTGCCTAGCTAATGCTTGCCTAGTTCTAAAATCTTTCCTGAATGAAGCAACAAGAAGTTGATTCTTCCCAAGGATTCATTATGCCCAGTACTGTTTGTATGAACTGCTGGCATAATGAAATTCAAAAACCATGTGCATACAAGTGCAAAACCCCAAGAATCCCACCAATTTAACTTAGTGCATTGAGTTTCTAGATGTCTGGACAACATTAACTAAGGTTCAGTTGGATTGCCTTTATTTTGGGTACTTCAGTGCAGTCCTCTAAGATCTGGCACAGCAATAATTATAAGGCAGCTGGAAAATGGAAAAGATCTGTTAAAAATCAAATGTGACGTGCATATTGGGCAGGAATGTGTGGTTTGGTTATACAACCATCATGCTGTGTTTAGCTGCAAGATGCGTCTTGTTACCTTCTTGTTACCTTGTTCATAGGTTATTTGACACTCCCCTGAGCTATAAATTATGGGCATACACATACAGTAAGGGGATTTATTTAAAAAAAAAATACAGCCCACCTTGAGAGAGAGACTTCTTTGTACACCAAACCTTTAAATGGTGAGCCGCCTGTTATATTTTCATTTTGCTTTTCTGGATTACGTTGTTTAAGAACCTTAATCAGCTCTTCACCATGAAGACTGTTGCCTTTCTTCTCCTAATGATAATCAGTTGCCTGGGAGGATTAGGGCAGAAGCTGAGACCAAGGAAAAGGAGCAGTGTTGAAGAAATCCGTTTTCAGACTAAAGCCAAAGATTCATGCACAATGACTGTGAGTGGTGATGAGGAAGTTAAACTCAGAATTGAATGCAGAAACCAAGGCAAGTCATACTGGTGCGAGTACACTGGCAAGCCTTCAGTTTGTCGTGCTTTCAATAACAATCCAAAGGCTTATTGGAACCAGAT